TATTTGCAAAAAAATATATGTATTTATGTGCAGTGTTTTGACAATAAAATAATGTTCAGATTTATATACTTCCTTGACCAGTTTTTAGCAGCAATTTACCAGTAGGCCTGAGTAGTCTAAGGTTTTTTATATATGGTAATAGCAGCCGTTTTTGACGGATATATTAGCCTACCATTTGTATTCCCATAGTTTAACTACAAATATTAAACTATAGTTAATATAATGAAACTATGTTAAATTTGTGGTTACTGTAGTTTTACTACAAATAGCATAATTATGGTTACTATAGTGAGAGAATAGTAAATTTGTGGATACTGTGATTTTACCGCAAATACCATAGTTAAACTAGTTACTATAGTAAAAACATGGTTAATTTAACGAGTTAACACATTCACATGCGAGTTCACACAGAATAAAAACTATACATTTTCTCTGTCATGTAGATCAAGGTGTAGGTAATTTTTATTTACCGTATGCCGATCATTTATCTTCTATGATCTTTGATCGTAGCGCTCGGCCTACGTAAGGCATCACATACAGTTGTCTATTTAAAATCAATGTGGTGAGCACACAGATCACACCACACTATAAATATGTGCCTTTTTCGTCTTTTATTATCTTATTTGCCTTTTTAGAGCACTTTTAGCTGTGCAGTAGCGCAGACGTTTACATTAGTTTAGCGGGGAAGGTCCTGAGGTTGCCAGATTTGCATAAAAAAGATCAGCCAAACATCCATTCAAAGCTAGGCAGAAAACTGCAGGCTTAGAAATACTGTAAAACTTGGCAACATTGGAAGGTCCTGGCAGATCGCAGAAAAAAGGGTTCAGTGAATCTGAAAATGCACACACTGAAAAAACTGCTACATATAACGACTTTCTATTTGGGGACCTTGATATAAATGTAGCAGAGTAAAAAGTACGATATTTGTCTTTCAAATGTAGTGAAGTTGAAGTAGCAAGTTTCCAGAAAAAATAATACTCAAGTAAAGTACAGATACTCAAAAAGTGTACTTAAGTACAGTACTCAAGTAAATGTACTTCGTTACTGCCCACCTCTGGAAACAAGTAGTAACATTTAAAACAAAACATCGGACGACCATCTAATCATTTTAGAAGAAAAACATTTCACAAATGTATAAATAATCTTTTTGTGCTAACATTTTGCAAACATAAAGACCAAATAAATGTGAATGAACATTATATTATTGTTAGAGGAATGTTCGCTCATAACTTATAGAGAACCGTGTCAGAACATTACCAAAAGGTTTGAGAAAGTTCTCTGTTAGGGTGTAATTATGACAACCACCACAGGAGCTAACTCAAAGATGAATATTTTATTTCACATATGTTGCTCATTCATAGCACAAATAAATTACGTTTTATTAACAAAGTTCAGGAGGAGCATGTTCAGATAATCAACTTAATAGGTTGTTTGCACATGACGTCATTGCTGTGGCGAGAAATGCAGCTGGAGGACAGGAAGTGATTTTTCTGTATAGGAATCGCTAGCAGAAACTCAAAATGCCTATATTTTGCGTTTGTCACTGTCCGTGTGGAGAGATGAGGCGAGGACTCAAAGATGCAGTAATCGGGCTCTTTATTAATAATAAAAATAAACAAAACTAACAAAAGCTACCCCAAGGGGGAAAACCAACAGGAAGGCCAGAAAAGGGCACAGCTTGGCAAGGCAAGGGAAGGCCACACAGGAACAGGCTAAAACAAGGAGCACACAGACATATTAAACCACATACAACAAATAACGAAACAGCACAGGACTGCAAACACAAGGGGACTAAGTAGGGCAGGTAACGAGGGAGACACAGGTGGAATAACTGAAACAATAATGAGGTAACAAGATGGTTGGTATCAGACAATCGACAGGAGAAAGCACATGGCACCAAACAATCACAACACAAGACATGTGCTTACACAAAACACACAGTGTCCTCTGGTGGCCATCCTGGGCACACCAGCTGAATACTGTGACACAACCCCCTCTCTAAGGAGCGGATTCCAGACGCTCCACAGTCCGAGGCACAAAACAAGAATCCAGGAGGGTGGTGGAGAGGAGGCGGAACAGGGGGAGTGATGGTGGGCCAGGCCCGTGGAGTGGGAGAGGGCCTGGAC